AACCCCCCCCCCCCCTTCCCCCTCAACTTGCACATTTCAGATCGTGAAAGTGGCGAGATGATTCGCCCCAGCCAAAAATAAATGGAGAAATGGTATGGGTTTACCGCCCCTATCAACACTATTAGGTTATTTAAGAGGCGGGGCCTCCTAGTTTAACGTCCGCTTCCGAAAGGACAGAGCCAAATGGGACATTTGTGTAAAGTGCCTTTCCCAAGGACACAACGTCGAACCGAGCTGAGGCTCAAACCCCCAAACCCGCAATCTCACGATTATGAGTCTGGTAGCCTAACCACTAGGCTACCGCCCCAGCCAGTCATCAGGGCCTCTGCAATGACGCTGAATGTATAGTGGCGCACAGAATTCCACCTGAAAGACCGGACGGAAAATTCCCACATGTTAATCGAACTCACGTCTTCGTCAGGGGGCGAATAGCCCACCTTTACAAAATGAACAACGGTTCATATGTAGGGCTGGGTTGTTTTTTTTCAGCAAGGGTTTTTTTTAAAGCCCCCATCTCACCCCAGAAATCAAGATAATTTAAATTATTGATTAGGAGGCCGGCTTTGATCCTGCCTGTCAGGGTCAACTCGGACAGACGGATGTAACGCCCCAGTAGAAATATCAAGATACTCGACAAAAATTCTTCCGACGCGGAACTTAAACTTCGAGACTTCTGTGTGCATCGGTAATATCCTAACAATTACACCACGCTGGGTGCCGGTACACGCACTGGGCAGGGCAGAGCTGGGCAGGGTAGAGATAAGTGTAGATGCGTGAGAGTGAGAGGAGTAACTGTTAATCGCATACACCACAGAGGACGCACTCGTGCAGATAAGATGGAAGGCAAGGAAAACATCAAACAAGAAAGCGAGAGCTCTGAGGAAACCCATCGGAAGTTGAAAATTTTCGGAACTGACATTTTTGTATTTTTCAGAAGCATTTTCTTGAGCATTTTGCACTTTATTAAAGTGCAACTGGATATTTCCGAGACAAAAAAAATATGTAACTCTTAAAAGTGCATTGGGTCCAAAACATAAGGTTTGAGAAAACAGCTTTGAAAATTACCCATGATGTAACGGTATGAGTAAAGGAAAGATGCACTGTGACTCTTTTTCTGCTGCTACAATATTATTTATGCTCACTTAGTTTCCCCGGGAAAACGAGGAATTTCTCTTTCGCTCGGTTGGTAACAGTAGGGGGTTCGCTTGAAATTGACGTCCGCCAGGAGTAAACAGTTTCAAACTTGAGCACAACATTTTTTCCTTAGTATGTCATCAAAATAATGCGTTAAAAATATGTATAGAAAAACATTATAGCAACAACTCTTAAAAAGAAAATTTAGAAACGGTTTATCTGTCTAAATTTGATAAACTTCTTTTGAGATTGAACATTAAAACAAACAAACAAACAAAAAATCCCAAAACAGCTGTAAATCAAAATTCCAATCTTTGCATTCCGACAAGATTTTCTGATATGAGCGGCGACAACTCGGAGAGGCCGTGAGGCACGTTCAGGGAAAATTTACTTCATTGAGGAATGAGGATCTTTTTTCGAAAGAAGAAACAATAATGATGTATCTGCAGGAGGATACATTCATATCTGCACACAAGTACTCGTGGACGAGGGAAAGAGGATTTTGTTAAATCAATCTCTCTCTCTCTCTCTCTCTCTCTCTCTCTCTCTCTCTCTCTCTCT